AATAGATAAGAAACGAAAAACTGAAAATTTTCATAACAATGCTACAAAACGCAAATAAAGTTATTCAGTACTGTACGGATTAAATATTCCTTTAACCAATGACAGTTAATAAAAATAATCTGCCAATTTTAATTTATGCAAATCTTCACACAATACAAATAATTCACCAGTTTTAATTTATGCAAATCCTTACATTTCCTCTGTCATCGAAACATTCAAGCTTTCACTATTTCGTAATAGTCCCAAAGCGCATTCATCAACTACCAATTCAGAGATCAGAAAATGAGAATGCAAGAGAAAGAAATATAAAAAATAATGTGAATCGCATAAATTAAAATCTGTTTGAACCTTTGGCCGTTTAATTCCAACCAATCTGAAATAAAAAGCTTCCATTCCAGCATTTCTGCCATTTCAAAAATTCTGTACTACGCGTTGTTCTTCACTGTATCGATGGCATATATTATTTGGTTCAATCTTCTGTTATGCATCGCTTCAGTTCAAAATAGTCCAGGTAAGAAATGCTCATTCCATGCTCAACGGAAGATCCGCAGTTAGATCAGCAGTTTCATTATTAGCATATAAAATGGTATTTGTAAACACAAAAAATCATATCAGTTTTTCAGTCAAACAGAAGCATGACTGTCGTTATTGTAATGCGACTACGCTGACGCATAAGGAATATTTAAAACATCTTGAAATGCACAAGGAACATGGTTTATACAAGTGTACTTTGTCCACATGTGGAAAGAAATGGCGTACCCTAAAATTACTTCGACAGCATTATGAGAAACACCAACCTAAACTTAAATGTGAAATCTGTGGCTCTTTCTTTTCTTATAAGAATGGACTAAGAGAGCACAAGAAACGATGCCACGGAGTTAGAGGTTAGTTTTGCAAAGTTTATGTTTAGCAAGAGAAGTTTTCAACGTGTATGTTCACATAAAAATGTGTTGTAAAACATTAATGGCAGTGAAGTACAATTCAATACTTACTGTAGTGTTTTTCTGACCAAAGTAGACAACTGCTTGTCGTTTATCGCAGTTGGTGTTTGGCAGATACTGATATGACAATGGACGGAGTGACGGAATTCAAGCAATTAGCTCCTTACAGTCCGATGAATTTAGATGGTGTTGACAATGATGACAATAACGTATCACAATAATGGAACGAATATTCTATTGTATTTTTTTCTATATTTACATCGGTTTTTTAATGCAATGATAAACGCGTGAAAAAACAGTACCTAATTCGATCTATGGAATCAAACGGCCGCTGATCACTCACTTCGTTTGATTTTATAAGATAATTTTAGGCCGAGTGGAACGAAATCCGCATTTGGGACATACTTTAGTAGACATACGAAACCATCGCATTGCCGGTCAAACTTCATTAGGTCAACAAGATGACTCGGGCAATGAGTATTTCTCAGAAAACTTTACATCCTCAACAATTTGGATTTAGCACTAATTGGCTCAGATACGGTTACATATGACAGTAGATGGGGAAATATTAATGGACAATTACAGGGAACAAGTAGTAAAGAATTATATGATGATATATCGTTTTAATCCCTTCCGCTTCAATTGCGTAAAGTTGAAAATACAAGGAGTAATTCATCTTAATCGAAATTGCTCTCGCCCACACCAAAAAATTCACAACTATCCGTTGTACGAGATTCCATCAAATGTAACATTAAGATTTAGATTCTGCGACAAATATATACAAGAAAGTGAACAGTTTCGTGTGTTCTAAATTAATTGGAATGTGAAGTTTGTCTTATGGCATTGATATCTTCATGATCAATTTTTAAATTGAGTCAATTAATTACCAAATGCTATGATAGAAAAACTAAGCAAGCACAAATGACATAACAGTTGTTTTTTCAGATATGGAGATATATACGTGCCCACATTTTGACTGCAATGCGACCATGCAGGGCAATGGCGAATATAAAAAACATTTCCAAACGCACGATAAACCATTTCGTTATCAATGCAAACATCCCGATTGTGGAAAAGAATACCACAGCAAAGCATCATTTTCCAGACACAAAAAATTCTATCAACACAAACCTCAGAGTAAAAACTTCCTCAATAATAAGAAATCATTGAAAAGTCCTGCAGAGCTTCCCAGTTTTGCAAATTCAGCAGAGCTTTTAGCATTTATTTATCTACCTGAAATGAATGAACAATGAAGTGATATCTAAGCAATGTTCATTCTAGACCCAAGGGAAGGAAATCCACAGTTGGAACATACTTTGGCAGACACAGGAAACCATCACACTGCCGGTCAAAGTTCAGTAAGTCAACAAGATCGCTCGAATGATGAGTTTCCCTCAGAAAAATTTAACATCTTGGACTATCCCGATGATGACATCTTCAAATATCTTAACATCCCCGACGATGTTGTAGTTAATATCGAAGATATTAACATCGACAACTCTAATGGTAATATCTTCGAATGTTAGCATTGCCGACGATGGCAACTTCCTCGACGACTTCAAAATATTTTGCCATCAATGAAAATTGTCTGCTTGCAGTATATCAAAACTATTTATCCCTTCTCTCAGTATGTAAGTTTCATAGTAAGAAAAAAAATTTTGGTTTAAAATTTAACTTTCTTTTTTTATCTTGGGAGAATTATCTAAGGATTTTATATGAAAAGAATATATAAAAAATTTTCCATTGGAGCTTTGACTACTCCGACGAATGCTTGCACTCCTTGGCGAAATTTCGGAAATATCAAAAATATCTTTAACCAGTTTTGATAAATGCTTTGATGAAGTAATTTGTCTGTTATAATGATAAAGAATTGCTTTTAAATCTTGCTTATACAAACCTGATGTCATTACTGAATCCGTTATCAAGGAATTAATTTGTCATTCTGGATTGTTGTCGGTTAGAGCT